GGGGGGGGGGGGGGGGGGGGGTTATACGTGTTTAATATATAGTTTTCATCTTCAGAGTGTGAGTGAAGATGACTTTATACTTACTCTGATTTTGCTTTGTACCGGTGTGGTATGAGTATGATTAAGAATGTACATTTGTGAGTGAGACTGTATAATTATTATAACACGTACAATGCTCAATGTGTGTGTGTTTGTGTGTGTGTGTGTGTGTGTGTGTGTGTAAGTGTGTGTGTGTGTGTGTGTGTGTGTGTGTGTACGTGCGTGTGCGTGCTCGCGCATGCGAGTGACAGAGAGAGCGAGAGAGAGAGAGAGAGAGCGAGCGAGAGAGAGAGAGAGAGCGAGCGAGAGAGAGAGAGAGAGAGAGAGAGAGAGAGAGAGAGAGAGAGAGAGAGAGAGAGAGAGAGAGATAAGTTACGGGTATTTCAATTTAGCTTAGCTTATTGGTAAAGAATTCTGGTTTTTTATATTGCACAATTTTGTACTATGTTCTATGTACGTTATCTTTTTCTTTTGGTCCTTTGTTACGGGTGCATGTGTTATATATACAGTCTGTGCCGGTCTTTAAGCACGCCGGCCTAAGCACGTTTCGGACTCAAGCACGCTAAACGGCTCTTACCGAATTTTTGCTATATAAATCACACGCCTTTAAGTTTAAGCACGGTAACTTCGGCTTCAAGCACGCTTCATTTACAAGACAGTCAATATTTTCATGATGACCCGTCGAAGTTCGAACACAGTCTACACCGCAGCAGTGGAGTGTGTCAAGAGAAACACAAAGAACGCAAGTGATGGACACACACACTCACACGGGCGGAGAGGAAGGCAGAGAGATGCACACAGCCGTGTGCGCGGACATATGATCTAGCTTAGGCCTAGGGCAAATCTACACACGACCAAAAATTTTTTTTTTAATACAAAGAGAGCCGAGGAGACGAGAAAGGGAGGCTGGCTGCGATTTCACCTTTGACCCTCGCTATCCATTAATCCTGATTGTGTATCACGCGCGAGGTGGGATGAAGGCGGTGGTATGAGTGGCACAGCGGGCAGTGGTACGCACAGGCAGTGTGTAGGCCTAGTGTGCTGTATTGTGACTGGCCGTATAAATTAAGTTTTCATTTCCCATTCAACCACAAAACAAAAACAAACAAGCGAACAAAAACTACCATGGCGGGTGTCTAAATACTAAATAACAGAGCACACTTTTGCGGGACCGCTATAGGCCTACTTACAAGCAAAGGGAAATAGCACTGGGAATTTGCTTCATGAAAATCTCTGGATTATGTCTACTTCGCACTTAAGCACGCTTCGGCTTTAAGCACGCTTAAGCTTTCTCCCGATGACCGTGCTTAAAGCCGGCATGGACTGTACTTAAAAATGGCGAAGGTAAATATATTTTTCAGACTACTACTACTTCACAATAAATGCGTCTTCTCTTCTGTCTCAAACTCAAAGGCAGCATAATACTATAGATCAATATATATACACCATACACGTATTTTATAACACAACAATTACTGTAAACTCGATGAAATAGAAAATGAAAAAAATAATTGCAAAAATATCTCTTTGATTTTGATAGGTGTGCTTTTACCAAGTTACTATATTTCTATCTTATGTAGCCTGTTTTTTGTTGTTTTTTAATATTTTTAAAAATTTGTACTTGTAGTTAGTTGGAGACCCACTCAAATCGGAGTGGGAGGTTGGCGGGTGCTCTGGTGTGGTTTGCTTCTTCTTTCCTATCAAACATCTATCGTCCTTATCTCCCTTTCTTCTTTTTTATGTTTGTTACTCTCTTGTAACACTTCTACTTCTAATCTTCTGGCGCTCATATGACCTTATGCGGTTGCGAGTGCCGCAAAACCCTCTACTAAAACTAAATTAACTAAAATCGGGCCACCTTTTGACTTTGGATCACATGGACCGTGGCATGCACAATGTAGTATGTTTTTATCGCCCCCCCCCTCCCCCCAACCAACAAAAAAAACAACAAAGAAAATAAACAAAAACAAAAAAACAAAAAAACGAGAGAGAGAGAGAGATAGATAGATAGATAGATAGATAGAGAGAGAGAGAAAGAGAGAGAGAGAGAGAGAGAGAGAGAGAGAGAGAGAGAGAGAGAGAGAGAAGAAATTAACTTTTCGATTCTAGATCTAATTCAATACTTTGTACAAAAGATTTAGAGATTTTATGAGCCTACTACTACTTGTTCATGCATGATGCATTTGATTCTCATGTTTTGTTGTACATAATGCTGTCCCTGTGGTTTTATGCACCCCGCATAATTTAGCAAAATTTGATCAGTTTTTGCATAATTTCTGATTATTTTCCTTCATCATTCTTCGTTAAAATTAACAGAATCGCATAATTTCACATTTTTGGGCGCAGTTTGCATAATTTACGAATTTTTCTTGCATAAAACGATAGGGACAGATAATGTCATATGTATTGATTTTGGTGTTTTTTCCTGATGTGTATTATACTATACTATCACTTACAATAATAAAGTAGATTTCTATAAACATTCAACATATTTATTTAGATCTATAATTAGTACATGATGTATAATGGTTCGCCCCAACAGGTTTGATGAAGGGCTAACTTTTATATGAACATTTTTTTCCTTGTGTGTTTGGTTTTAAAATTTGGTAAACAATTCAGTTTTATGGCGCTCACAACTGCATAAAATAAAGTCACATGAGAGCGCGGGACACAAGATTGGTCTGTCCCCATTGTTTTATGCAAGAAGCATTCTGATATTATGCAAACTGAGCCCAAAATTGTGAAATTATGCGATTCTGTTAAGTTCAACAAAGAATGATAAAGGAAAATAATCAGAAATTACGCAAAAAAATGATCAAATTTTGCCAAATTATGCAGGGTGCATAAAACCATGGGGACAGATCTGTACGGTAGTATGTATTGCATTCTACGACTAGTGGGCCATTACAGCAGATCAGGTTCGATCGACTGCACACAAAGCCAGTTGATTGTGACCCCACTGTACTTCTCCTGTGGTAAGCATCAGTAGGCCTACATGTACCTTTAACTTTATTTTTACTGTCTGACCATGGCGTCCGTGGCCTAGTGGTTAGGCTCTCGGACTCCAACCAAAAGGTCGTGGGTTCGAATCCCGTCAGGGCCCCGGCGTTATGTTCTTAGGAAAGGCACTTTGCATACATTTTCCTCACCTCACCCAGTGAACGATCTTGTCAGTTTGATAGTGTTTGAGCGCGTGAAATCCGCAGCTTGCATTGTATGCTTCTGCGGAAGTCGAGAATGTTTCTGAGTGTTCTCAGAGGGTCTGCTGAGGGAATAATAGTTGTAAAGCGCGTAGAGCATGCTCTAGAGCGTGGATATGCGCTATATAAATGCAATTATTATTAGGGAGTGCTTATTTAGGCCACATATAGCCTAAATAAGGTCAACCTTATTATTATTATCAAGCAAGTGAGTCATATTTCCATAACATAGCTCTTGCCATAATGACAGCTCATATATGTAAACATAATTACTACATATATTATATACATAATATATGGAATGGAAAACCAGTGCTTGTAGTTGTAGGCCTACCTCTCAACTATCTGCAGATGGGGAAAATATAAAATGGGGGTATGTATTTTTCAACAGATGGCAGACCAGACATTACTGCGACAGAAGATGCACGGCACTGTATAGACAAAGCAATATATGCAAGATGAGAGTTCAGGCGCCAAGTCAACCACACCAAACTTTTTACTAAAAAAGTACATTCAGCTCGCTCTGTCATACTCTATGGAACTTTCTTGAGATAAATAAACGAGAATCAAACGAGAATGCTCCTTGTCTGTCCAGTTGTAGATAACTTTTCAATTCTGACTAAAAAAGTACAAGACGAGCACATTTTTAATTCCAGGCCCGACCAAGCAGCTTGTTAATATTTTCTCAGCTGCAGCAGTTCTTTTTCACTCTCAGTCTCAATCTGTCTTCAGCTCTGTCGGTCATACTCTAATGAACTTTCTTGAGATAAATAAACGAGAATCAAACGAGAATGCTCCTTGTCTGCCCAGTTGTAGATAACTTTTTAATTCTGACTAAAGTACAAGACGCGCACATTCTTAACCCTTCCAGCCCCAGCCATTTTTGTGCACTCCCTAACCCCAGTCCCAGCCAATACAGCAGTATTTCAGAAAAAGAGGCATTATTTCTAAAAAGTGATGTAGTATCTTTGTAATGTAGCTTTGATAATAACATATATACCAATTTTTAAAGGTAAATGAACAAGTAATAAGAAAATTAAAGTTTAATTAAGTCCGCTATTTAGAAAAATGCGCGAATTCGGTACCCCCCGGAACTGAGAATATACGCTCTTGGGACGGAGGGAGGTACAAGCGCTGCTGAAAATATACGCGCATGGGGCTGGAAGGGTTAATTCCAGGTCCGACCTAGCAGCATGTTAATATTTTCTTGCGGATCAAACAAGAATGCTCCTTGTCTGCCCAGTTGTAGATAACTTTTTAATTCTGACTTAAAGAGTACAAGACGAGCACATTCTTAATTCCAGGTCCGACCAAGCAGCTCGTTAATATTTTCTCAGCTGCAGCAGTTCTTTTTAACTCAGTCTCAACCTGTCTTCAGCTCGCTCTGTCATACTCTATGGAACTTTCTTGAGATAAATAAACAGACACGAAGGAACTCAAACACATACATACAAACAAGCAAATACTCAACACTCGTTGTTATCAAGTCAAGTATCATTATTAATTTACTTTGATACAAAATGAATATGGCGTGATGAAGGTCAGTGGAACTGGACCTGTGGTGGGAGGTTCAGCAGCCGGGCTGACCACAGAGGTGAGAGCAGTGACGATGAGGACAACTACAGCGTGACATTCAGCCTAGGTCTCTATATATATGCACACATTTATTCGTCGTTCACAAATTCGGCTGGGTCCTTGCGCATCAAACGAGCATGCTCCTTGTCCGCCCAGTTGTAGATCATGTAGCCAGCGATGAAAGCTGAAAAGAAAAACAAATTTTAATATAATATTAATAGTAATACATGTATGTCTTTTTTTAGTTTAAGAAAGAGTTTTTATAGCACTCGCAACATAAATCGGTCAAATCGTGCCACAGATTATAAAGGTGTTACTAGAGAGTAACATACAACTTAATACAAAGAACAGAAGGAGGAAAGACAAGGATGACAGATAGACGTTGGATTAGAAAGAAGGAGCAGACCACACTAGAGCACACACCAACCACCCACACATTTTTTAAATACAAAGTTGGGACAACAATGAGTATAAAAATTAGGGAACATATCTCGTAGGCTACTCATATTAACACTATTCTCTCAGACATTGGTCTCAAGCTGAGTAAAATCAGTACAATTTTTTTTGGGACTTGTCTGCAAACTCGACACCTCTGAAATTATTTTTTCCATATATATATCTATATATTGAATATATATATATATCGAAAAATCCTTCTGAGGTTCAATACTGCAGGGAAAGTAATGAAGGGAATCAGATATTCAGGTAGATACCCGGTATTTCACCCAAAAAAAAAGAAAAGGTGCAAACGTTACGAGTGTCAAAGGGTTAAAAGGCATCTACATTTTCTCTCTGTGTCATTTAAGTCTTACTTTTATAGACCATCTATAGCACACTAAAATGTTGTGCTGAAGGGTGCCCACGATATTTGTCAAGTCAAGGTCAAAGGTCAGGCTTGAATGCTATTTGAAATATTTTCTATCTAAAGGAATTTTTAGTGGGTGGTTGGAGGGTGCTTTGGTTTGGTTTGCACCTTCTTTCCTGTTACAAAACAAATAGACACACCAAGGGTCGGTATTTTACGACAACGTAGCAAAAGGGACAAGCATAGGAAATCTGACTGACAAGACAGAAACGAATGGAAAATGAACCTCGAGATTCAGAGAAAATACCGCAACCCAAACACTATTAGCACGCAGAGTAAAGTTTGTGTATAAGAAATTTAAAAAAAGGAAACATCTCTTTTGTGACTTTATATTCTTTGGTTGACCACCGTCTCTCACACAGCTGCCAACTTTTTAAAACAAAACAACCCCTCCCCTCCCCCCATCCCCCAAAACAAACCCAGTCTGAAAGTACAAGTAACCATAGTAACCAAACTCCAAACCCTCCACATACAGTACACTTTTCTGTATGCAACAAATTGAAACTGTTCCAAACAGACCAGAAATAATGATGTGAGAAATGTTTAGAGAAGGTCTCTCCATTTACAAGCTTTGTTCTCATAATTATTCACAAATTCTTTTTTTTGAAAAGGTCACAATTTTTTTCCTTCAATGTCAGCAAGTCTGTGAAAAGCAATATCAGAAAACAGAGAATCCGTTTTTTCCGACACAAAAATGGAGTTATGAGCTTAGACTAACTTAGAACCTCTAAAATATACTAATATGTTGTTTTTTCATGTTTGGAAGCTATGCCTTCACATTAGCCATGTGCTTGAGGGTAAAAAATACGATAGCTACAACTACAAACAACCAACATGAGCAAAAATGTACTTTTAATATAAAACAAACTCTTCTTATCCTTCTACTTATAATGCAAACATGCATGAAGTTTTAACTTGGCCTACTTACGAGGAACAACTCTGAAAACTTGACCTCTGAACCTCCTGAAAAGGTTGGGCACCCCTTTGGAGAATGCACCAGCGAAAGCCTTCTGTTCATAGGGTGACAGGCTGTACATGACCAGACCCCGCACACTGGAGGTCATGTTTCCCCATTTCATACCCATGATGAAGGTGTGTTAGCTGTGAAGTGAACGAGAGCACAAAAATCTTTAAAATTAAATTTAATAAATCAAAATTAGTCAAAATTCTTTACACAGTCAAAGAAGTATACGGACACATTCACATAGGTAACTAAAAGCTGGAAAAAGGACAGATGTGAGAGGGTAGAAAGAAATGTACAAGCTGTATCCCGAAAGCACAATTAAGAAAACATTTTTTTTTTAACGCATTAAATTCTTAAACACAAACCCTAGTTTTCAGTATGTCTAGTAAGAGCAAGCACACCAACAGACCAAATGCAACATCCGCCATCTATGATCACCAGCACCAGCATTACATAGTTACAGTGAGTACTGTGAAACCACATTATAATACCATCCCTTGTTGTTATCATTATGTATGACCTACTACAATAAAAGTAATGTAAGATTTGCACAGCAGCACCGCCAGAAAACTGGCTGCCAGAGGTACATGCGGCACTCACTAAGGCAGCTGTGCAGTGATACTACAAACTCCCTTTCTCTCACACGTGATTCTGTCAAGTGTGTAGTAAGAAACCTGAAGGCCATATTTCAAGTTTTGGACTAAGGGAAATAACCCATAAATACAGGCCTTCATTTACTCTTGGCAGAATCTTTTCCCTTGATATTGGTCAGTTATGAAAAAACTATTTATAAATTAACAGCACAGCAAAATCCCCTTATCATTTTATATAAATTGCCATCCCTACTTCATGCTTTCCCCAAGGTTGGTGGTAAAATGGGGTTCAACTATACTATATGTTAAAATTTAATGATAAGGGCCTTACATTTTCTACTGAAAATATTGTCAGCTCTTGACACTGGAGAGAGAGAGAGAGAGAGAGAGAGAGAGAGAGAGAGAGAGAGGG